ACTTTCTACTTTCTCTGCATATGCTGATGTGTGATGTTCTGGGCTCTGCAAGCATACTTTTCCCCACATTCTCTCCGTTTTAGAAGTTCTGACTGGAGTGAATTTTCTTGTGTTCTCCCAGATTGAACAACCAGAGAAATCTTTCCCCACATTCCTCACATTTATATGGTTTCTCCTCAGTATAAAGTTGTTGATGTGCTGTGAAGGGTGACTCAGCTGTGAAGCCTATCCCACATTCTTCACAACAATCGGGATTCTTCCGTGAATGTGAGAGCTGATGTATGGTTAAATTGCAGAGACGGGTGAAACATTTCCCACATTGATCGCATGCATACGTTTTTTTTCCGGAGTGACTTCGTTGGTGTACTCTGAGGTTAGAGTGTTGGGAGAACATTTTGCCACATTCTTCACATTTATAGGGTTTCTCTCCTGTATGAATTCTCTGATGTACTGTAAGAACACTCTTCTGGTTGAAGCTTTTCCCACATTCTTCACAACAATAGAGTTTCTCCCCTGAATGACGGCGCTGATGTACTTTGAAAGATGATGGATCACTGAAACTCTTCCCACATTCTTTGCATGTATAAGGTTTTTCCCCTGAATGAATTCGTTTCTGTACGGTGAGGTTTGAACAGTAGCTGAACTTTTTCCCACATACTTTACACTGAAAGGGCTTCTCCCCCGTATGAAGGCGCTGATGTGCTTTGAAAGTTGAGGAAAGAGTGAAACTGTTTTTACATAGTTTGCATGTATAAGGTTTTTCTCCTGAGTGAATTCGTTGATGTTCTACAAGTTTGAAGCGTTTAGTGAACCTCCTCCCACATTCTTCACAGGGAAAGGGTTTCTCTCCTGTATGAATTAATTGATGTTCTCTGAGATGTGAATGACTCATGAAGCCCTTTCCACATTCATAACATTTGTGGCACCTCTTCTCACTGTCCATTCCCTGATGTTCCTTAAGTCCAGGCCTTCCCTTGAAGCTCTTGCCACAATCTTCACCTTTATACACTTCTCCTTCTGAGCGCACCGGCTGAGTGATGTGAAGAGCTGAGCTAACACTGAAGCATTTTTCAGACTCTGAGTCTTCATAAGGTTTCTTTCCTGTGGGAAATCCTGGATGTTCTGGGCTCCTTCTGGAACTCTCTCCATGCTCCAAACAGTGACACAGATTTTCCTCTGAGTGGCATGTTGGACATTTCACTGGGCTTTTCCCCAGAGAGCTCCTTAGCCCAAACTCTGAGCTCTGAAGGACATGGAGTCGTCTATTTTTTGCCTTTTCCTCTTCTTCTTCACAGACAACTCCTCTCAGATAACGGTGAGGCTTGTTTTTCCTCCGCCTTCGTGATTGATCTCTGATCCCACAGTTCTTGTTTTCATTCTCCACTCTTTCTGGGGATGTCCCATGAAGTTTTTCTTCGTCCTCGTGTCCGTCATGTGCTGGAACAAGGAGGGAATTCATGGTAATTAGAGGATTTTGCCATTTAATAGGTCAAATATCTATTGATAAGCCAATTTCCTGCTGCCTCCCTTTCTGTGCTGAGAAAACAGTACAACGCAATCACTCATGACCTGGGTTTAATCTTCTTATCCTAGAGAAGTAACAGGATTTTGAGGAATTAATTTTCCAGTCTTAGTGCTAAAAGATTTAGGTGGACCTGAACAAACAATGAGTTTTTCTAAATCAGATATAGCTGGATGGAGAGATCCAGCGAATGGACTGTGGATCCGCTTGGGACTTTGTAAGCTTCTCTCAGAATTTGCTACCTTTTCTGTTCAAGAGCATTGAAACAATTATAGGAAGGTATAGAAATCACCTCCAAATTACCCTAGAAGAAAAGGACTTTTAAACACACATCATGAAGGTATTTTTACTACAAGTGTTCTGAATACAATGGATCATCTACTGTGCCAGCGAGATCACTGAACAATTGAACAATTTTTGACAATCTGCTGTTCCATTTTGCTCCCCAATCCATCCACAAGAGGCATCAAAACAGTAAACACCAACACTTGGGAAGGCTAGAAGGAGTTGATTTAGGCGTCGAATCGAAAAAGGGAAAGGGTAAATCATCTCTGAGTACCCTAAATCTGGGAAAGGGATGTTGTGATTCAAAAGAGACTTTACAGCACATTAAAAGGATGAAAAATCAGCTTAACTGAGACATTAAGTGCCTAAGATACATTGCTGGTGCAGTAACACAATTAGAACGAATCGGATGTTACACATAAAATTATAAAACAGAGAAGTGATGAGTGATAATGAAGACCAACGTATACAATGATTAACGTGCAGAGGGAAACAGAATACCTTTGTCCCAACTCCAAGGATGAAAGGCTCCCCATTTCCTTTGTGTAAAAGAATCCATCCAATGAAGATTTGGAGAAGCCTCCGATATGTCTGAGGGGAGAGCAGGCGCTTCTTCTCCGTCATCATCTTCTGGGTCCTCCGGGGTCTCCAGCTGCTGCTGCTGACCCTCAAGAAGAGTTCCTGGCCTTCCAGGTATGCGCCAAGCGTTTGTCCTCATGGGCCACCTGGGACAACAGAGGAGAATCCTTCTAGGTATACAATCCTGTCCCCAATTGTAGTCTTGGTTAAGCAATCCATTACTTTGCATGGGAAGATCTCATCCTGCTGAACACTAAGGCGTGCTGCTTATATACCACCCCATAGCTATAAAAGCACTCTGTGAATGATTTATAATTTAACTATGCTGCTAGTTAGA